CTTTATTTGTGGTACACAAGACAAAAAGTTTGGCCATCAATTCTCTAAACTAGAGCATGACTTAAGGAGGGGATCCCACTGTGCTCTCCTCTAGATGGTGGCTTCCTGTTTGCAGGTTGGTTGTTGGCACCCTGACCTCTCTATGTGGAAAGTAGCCCTTCTTTCCTGGGGTTGGACTGGGTGCTGAGCCAAATAAATGGCTATGAGAAGCATCCTGATGTCCAAGTAGTATGGCAGGCCCTGGTGGTCATGGGGCACTGATAATTCCCATGGCTTTATACCCGTCAAAAGGATAGGATGCTCTCTCCCCTCCATTCATTTCTTCCCTTCTCTTTGCATGGGACCTTCAGCTGGAGAATTTAGTGTATTACAACCGCCTGAAGAACTCCAAGATTGTTATCAGTGATTTCCACCTGGCAAAGCTAGAGAATGGCCTCATCAAGGAGCCTTGCGGCACCCCAGAATATCTGGGTAAGAAATGTGACAGTGGCATTTGGCAGAGGGCAACCAGAACAGTGATGGGCAAGACAAGGTGCAAACATGTAAATACTTTTTGTTGCAAACCAAGAATGAGCCACAGAGTAAGAAGCAGTTACCCACAGCCCCTTCCACGGAGACAGGAACCCAGATCTAATCCTTCCTCTCATAGGAGCTGTACCCAGAGCTCCAGGGACACTGAAGTCCAGGCCTGGTCCTTCCCTCAGGGCTCTAGAGTCAGTGGGGAATTACTGTCTTACTGTCAGTTCCAACCTGTTCCTTCTTAGGTCCCACGGTTAAAGGCTGGTTTGGGCGCTGAAGCATAAAGACTAAGATTTCCTTTTAGCCCTTTGTTTTTTTCACCTAAGGCTGGAACTTCTGCCCTGGATATGGAAGCTAAATCCACCTGTGATGTCTGTGATGGAGCATCTCTTTACACTTCATTATATTTGGCTTTCCCATCCTGAGCTGTTCCGTACCTTTTGCTTTTCCTCCAGGAGGGTGATCACTATCTCTCCATGTGAACAAGACCCTCTTGGCCATGAATCTTACATTTTCTGCCTACAAGCTCTTTCCTTCCAAGTGGCCTATGTTACGTCTCAGTAGGGGAGAGGGGTCTTCACAGGAAATCTAGCCACTGGGTACCATAACTTAGGCCAGGGGTTGTCAACTGGGGGTACGCATACCCCTAGGTGTATTTGAGAAGGCCCTAGAGGTTATGTGCAGGTGTGTGGGGACAGAGTGCCACCACACAGGCGCCACCTGCCCAGCCGGGCACGGGGAGTGGGGGAAGCTGGCATACAGCAGCTGCTGCCATTTTGCATTTGGCTGCGCACCGCCCTCCCACCCCCCATGTCCATCCGCCGGGCGTACACTGCGCTGTGTCCACCTGCTGGGGGTACACTGATCCAAAAAAGTTTGAAAACCCTGGCCTAGGCTAATGATGGGCAGCTAAGGAAAGGGGTGGCTGTCTTGTGTGAGGGGCTGGGAGTTTCCTGTCTTGGGGGATACTGTGTGAGGCCCAAAGTATCAGGAAGAGGGACAGCACAGTGAGAAACAGCTCTGGAAAGCCATCTGGGTTAGTCCTTGTGCCACTGGTAACAGAAATGTGAGGTGTCTAAGCTAGAAGTAGAGGTGTGTAATGGGAGAGTACCATCCACCAGCACTTTAGGGATACAAAGGCTTGTGGAGATCCTTGGGAGGCAGAGGTAGGGATCCTGATCCTTCTATGGCATGGCTGTCACTCTCCTGTTGTGTTGTTTCAGCTCCAGAGGTGGTGGGACGCCAACGGTATGGACGGCCTGTGGACTGTTGGGCTATTGGCGTCATCATGTACATTCTGTAAGGACAGAGACATGAACTGTGATTTTGGGATCTCTGAAACTGACTGTGAGCAGTGGGAGATAAGGATAGCTATCCTTGGGTGCCACCCAGGCCAGGGAGCTGAGGGTGGAGTTGAAAGGGGTAGGTGACCAGAGAATGGCTGGGGAGCTGATATAAGGACAGGACAAAGACAAGAGCTAGGGCCTGGAATAAAATGGGAACAGCCAGAGTCTGCTTCCTGGCAACTAGTTCAGGGAGTGACCCAGGAGAATCCTGGGCCCTGGTGAAGGGAGACAGGCCGGAGCCCAGAGGTCACTACTACCTTGTTAATCCAAGCCATGGAGAAGTCCAAGCTGAGACAGGCTGCTCCGTACTCACCATTCTGACTCTCTCTTCCCCCCTGCAGCCTATCAGGGAATCCACCCTTCTATGAGGAGGTGGATGAGGATGACTATGAAAACCATGACAAGAACCTCTTTCGCAAAATCCTGGCCGGTGACTACGAGTTTGACCCACCCTACTGGGATGACATCTCACAGGCAGGTAAGGCTTGTCCACCACCCAGTAGAGTAGTACCTCTGTATAGTCAAGACTCCTTCCTCCACAGCCAGAAGGGGACAATCACCCAGAATCCCACTCAGCAAAATCAGCCTTGAGAAAAAAGGGATGGAAGGGACGTGTGTGTGCCAGACTTGCATGGCTGGGAAAGATAATAATATTGCCACCATGTGTCTATTCCCTGCCCCCTCTGCTCCCCCTGCCCAGCCATATCTGCTGTAAGGCATATGAGGGACTCTGGATCTCCAGGAATCTTATCCCTGAGCAGGAAGGAAATTACTTCTCTCTTGCCTTTGGATCCTTCTTTTCTCCATCTCTAGCTCCTTTGGAGATGGGTGCTGAGAAGTCTGAGTACCCCCACCAGGCACCATTCCATACTTCCTGGCTGTGCCTAGCCCTGTGGCTGACAGAGCACTAAGCTCCTTCCTCTTGCTTCTTGTTTCTGCAGCCAAAGAGCTGGTGACCCGTCTAATGGAAGTGGACCAAGACCAGAGGATTACAGCTGAAGAAGCCATCTCCCATGAGTGGTAAGGATAGTTGATGTAAGTTCCAGACCTGAGAAAAAAGGGGACTCTTTTGACAGGAAGGAAGTTGGAGGGATGGAGGGGATGTGATAATATCTTGGAACTTGTAATGAATGTGAGAGTCCACCTCTGATGACCAGTAGCAATTCCACCTCCTGGCACGGGAGAGAAGACACAAAATGGGTGGGTTGACAGAGTCCTATAATGAGGCTGGAGTGCATGAATGGGGTATGGTCAGAGGTCTTTGCTGAATTCATCCTTTAAGGGGCACCAGCTTAGCAAAATATGTAGAGCATGGGCACAAGCATCTGGGAGAGTGGTCCTGAGAAGCCAGTCATTGGCATGTGTTTCTGCTCCCAGGATTTCTGGTAATGCTGCGTCAGATAAGAACATAAAGGATGGTGTGTGTGCTCAGATCGAGAAGAACTTTGCCAGAGCCAAATGGAAGGTATGTAGCCCTTAGCCAACATGGGCCGCTACATCAGGGGACCTGTGGGATGTAGAGCCCCTTCCATCTCTGGGGAGGTGGTATAGGCTAAGCCTCACAGAACGAGCCCTAACAACAATGCAGAGAAGAGGTCTTCTCCTTTGAGCCACTCTGTACATCATTCTCATCTTTTCCAGTAAAAATGGTGATCTGCTTATAGGGAGCTGACCTGAGACTAGGGATCTAGGTCCATTCTCCTGCTGACCCACGCACTGTCCATGAAAGCTTGGGCCTGTCACTAAATCTGCTCAATGCCTGAGCTCCCCACTGACCCCCCTGCCACATAGCAGTATGATTCATAGATTCATAGATTGTTAGGGGCTGGAAGGGACCTCACAGATCATCAGGTCCAGACCCCCGCTCTAGGCAGGAAGACAACTGGGGTCAAGTGACCCCAGCGAGGTGACTGTCCAGTCTCCTTTTGAAAACCTCCAGGGCAGGAGACTGCACCACCTCTGGAGGGAGTTTATTCCACAGTCTGGACATCCTGACTGTGAAGGAGTTTTCCCTAGTATTAAGCCTAAAGTGGCCTTCCAGGAGTTTGTATCCATTGGTCCTGGTCTTCCCCAGGGGTGCCCTAGTGAACAGTTGTTCACCAAGCTCCTGATGCATTCCTCTGATACAGTGGTAAGTTGCTATCAAGTCCTCTCTCAACCTTCTCTTTTTTTGGCTAAAGAGGCCCAGGTACCTCAGCCTTTCTTCGAGGTTTGTTTGCCCCCAGATAGAGCACCTTACACTTGGAAGTGTGAAACATCATCTGGTTCTGGTCTGCCCAACTCTCAAGACTGTCCAGGTCCACCTGTATCTGCAACCTATCTTCTGACGTGACCACACCACCCGATAACTTTGTGTCATCTGCAAACTTGGCCAGCGAGCTTTTCACTCCCCCATGCAAATCATTGATAAAGATGTTGAAAAGCATCGGTCCAAGCATGGACCCCTGAGGGACACCACTGTCCACTTTACACCAGGACAACATAGATCCGTTCATGAGAACTCTCTAGGTCCTACCCTGTAGCCGATTTCCCACCTGCTGAACCATCAAGCAGCTGAGCCGACAATCTTCCAGTTTTCCCACTAGGGTATCGTGGAATACTAGATCAAAAGCCTTTTGAAAATCTAGGCATGTAACATCTACCTCATCTCCCATGTCCAGGTGATGAGAGACCTGGTCACAGAAGGAGATGAGATTGGTAAGACAAGACCTACCCGTGACAAAAGCCATGCTGGCTGTCATTCAGAATCTTACCTTCCACAAGTGTATCACACACAGATTCTTTAATGAGCTTTTCCAGGCTTCTCCTGGAATAGAGGTTAGGCTGATTGGCCTGTAGTTGCCCGGATCCTCCCTCTTCCCCTTCTTGAAGATGGGCACAATTGCCCTCTTCCAATCCTCAGGGATTTCCCTTGTGCACCACGAATTCCGAAAAACCTTTGCCAGGGGTTCCGCAATGACCTCAGCCAGCTCCTTCAGCACTCTTGGATGAAGTCCATCAGGTCCTGCTGTCTTATAAATGTCTAGCTTTTCTAGTTGGTATTTCACCCGCTCAGCATCCACAGTGGGGATGCTGCCATTCCCAGCATGCCCCCTATGAGCCTTATCTCATTTGTCTTTCCTCTTGGTTTGGTGAAATACCGAAGCAAAGTGGGCTTTCAGGAGTTCAGTGTTTTCCTGAATGTTGGTTACCAGCTGCTGAGGTGTTAAGCAGGGGTCCCACACTTCCATTTGTTTTCCTTCTACTGCCTACATACCTAAAGAAGGACTTATTGTCCTTTCCTCCCGTGGCTAACCTAAACTCCGTCACCACCTTGGCCTTCCTGATCATTTCCCTATGAATGCTGGTCACTAATGTATAGTGACCGTCCCTAACTTCCACTGTGTGTACATCTCTTTTTTATTTTGACAGCATATGATGACAGACCCCATCAGTGATGAGCACATTTTTCTGCTCCCAAGATTTCTGGCAATGATGCTTCAGATAAGAACATAAAGGACAGTCACAGATTGGCATAGGGGCCATCTTTACAGTTGTCTCTGACCTGCATTTACCAGTTTTCAGCATTTTCTGGTTGCTGTAGTGCCTATGTCCAAATGTATGCCCTTTTAAGGAAAATCCACAGGCCCCGTCTTCCTGTAATCAGAGGTGGGCAGCATGAGGGACCCACCCCCAGGTTCCTCCATGGATGCCTAGTCCTGAAAATCCTTGGTGCCAGGGCTGACAGCCCTGCTTTTTCAAAACTTCTTCCCAGGGCCTTTTGCTGTACCTCAGCCCTCTCTTCTCAGCAAGACATGGACTCCCATGACTGTGCCACATTTGGGACAGCAGAAATTGAAGCCAACCCCTCCTGGAGGGATAGCTTACCCCACAATCACTCCTCCAAGTTTGAATCCTGAAAAGGGAGATGTGCCAAAGACTCCACTAGGGCCATTGCTACTGCTAATGATTTTGTGCAGAACAAGCCCAGTTATGAGTGATGCGTGGTACCATAGTGAGAGAGGCAGTGTAACACCCTCAACTGCAATGTCCATTTCTTTTAAGATACTAGTCAAGCAGCTAGAGTCTCCTCACTTAACATAGGTTTTGCTTGGAGACCTAAAGTGTTGGGAAAACCAGAGGAGTCCCTACCAAGACAGTCAGGAGCGTAGGGCAGAAGAACATGGAAGTGGGAAAGTGATAGCTTAGCGCAAGAGAATGAACCATTCCTTGGCAGTTGTAGTGAAAAGGTATTCACCCCATACTATAGCACTTTGAGACCCATGGGATTCCTCCCTCTATGCCTCCCCACAGAAAGCCGTGCGAGTGACCACACTCATGAAACGACTCCGGGCACCCGAGCAGACAGAATCTGCACAACCGACCCAGCCAGCTGCCATCCCAACAGACAGCGTCACCTCGACGGCCCCCACTGCTGCCCCAGAGCCAAAAGCCGACGCTGCTGCCACCACTACACCCAACAATGTGGCCCAGGTGGCAGGGGCCCCAGCCACATGTAATGGAGAAGAAGCCACTGCCCCTAATGCCACCCCTGAGGCCTGGAATGAGGAGACTGGCTGAGTGGGAGGGGTGGGTGGGAGCAGGGCTGCACATTATCTCTGTGTATATAGTCACTGGCATGGTACCTGAACCCCTTCTGGCTGCCCATCCCATCTCTTCAGAGTGGTGGCTCACCCACCCCACCTTCCCTTCTGTGTCCCCATCTGTCTGGCTCCATCTGCCCCAGCTGGGCCTCAGGAAAGAGCTTCTATTTTCTATGTTTCTGAATCTGAAGCAACCTACTAGGCCCAGAAGGACAGACAAACAGACAGACACAGAGGCAGAGCCTGTTGCATGGAGATCTCTCTTTCTCTCTCTCCCTCTTGAGTTTCTTTACTCTCTCTCTTTTGGTGGCTTTGTTAGTTTCCCTTCCTTGCTGGAGGCTGCTCCCAGGGCGCTCTCTCAGTCTGTCACTCACCCATCAAGCACCACATCCCCCAATAATTGGTCGGGTTGGGAGAAACTGGGGCATTGGTATAAAAAAGAATAGCCCACCTCTGTCCAGTGTATTTGAGAGACAATGGGGGGGCTGGGGCTCTCAAGGATATGCATATTAGCATATGTGCATGTTGCACCTGTGCACAACCCAGAGATGTGTTAATGTGTCCATACACAGATGGACACACATCTTTGCCTACCACTTGAGTGCAACAGCTCCAGTTGTGTGTCACATTCAGTGCATGTGTGCATTTGTACGTCTGTGTACAGCTTCATTTCCATGCTGCACATCCATGGTCATGTACGTGGGATACGTGTGTATATTCCTGTGTGTGCCTGACCATGTGAATCAGTGCATAGCTGAATGGTTAGGTCTATATTAGTGACTCTGTGTGTGTGTGTGTGTGTGTGTGTGTGTGTGTGTGTGTGTGTGCGCGCGTGTGTGTGTGTGTGTGTGTGTAGGAGACTGGTTTGTGTGCGCGTGTGCATGTAAGTTTGTGTGCACATTTTCACATACCTCTATCCATATACCTCTATCCATTTGTAAAACCAGCGTGCATGCATTGGTGCATGCACTTGGGACTCGAGAAAAAAGGGAATCTGAAGCCTCCTTAAGTAACTTTAAGTACAAGTATCAGGCTGGAGAAGAATGTCAGCTGAACTGAGCTGGCTGATGGGTTAAGGTTAAAGGAAGGAGAAGGGTGCAAGGTTTCAGCAGTCAGGTAATTTAGGGGAGGGACACTTTGTTTACACTGCTTCCCTCATAGATGCTATCAGCAAGGTGCCCCCCATGCCCCTCATGTCAGCAAGATCCCCTTGAGTTTGCTTAGTGCTTTGGGGATCTAACCACAGTGATGATGTGGAATGAGCAGCATTTATGGCCCTAGAAGTGGGAACTTGCCTCTGTTGTATGGGTGGCACCTTGCCTGAGTGCTAAGTTTCTGCTTCACACCACATGGCCAGAGACTTAGGCTCGGAAGAGAGTAGACTGCACCACATCACCATGCCTGGTGGCCTTTGGGGTGTGCCCTGTGCAGACTTCTCAGAGCAGTTTCCAGAAAAAGGCTGAGTCTACTTAGGGGAGAAATGTACCAGTCTTACATTCTGCCACACTGATTCTGGGCTTTGCTGGAACTTAAGGCCCATGCAGATACTAAGCCATACTCTGCCCTTGTTTACAGTAACCTCAATCCAATGACCCCTTGGATCTCACTCTTGCCCCAGCCTTGTAACAGAGGACAATGGCCCATCCTGCCAGGAACATGGAGGCAGCATGGAATACTCCTGGTTCAGCACCTAGAAGGGCTGTGTTTGTGCACTGCAGCCCTCAGTGGCGCAGCTACTGAAGGAAGAAAGAGCTTGCTAAGAATGTTTGTGTGATTGCCAATACACTGGGAGCTGCCCCCTCAAGAAATTTGCTGTCTAGCTGTGGGCTGTCACCAACCCCAAAAGCAGGCAGCCAAAACATTTGTTCCTGCTGAGAGTTGGCTACTGAGCCTGGTCCCCATAGGTGTAGTTGTAGAGCAACCTGGGAGCCCTGGAGCCATCTGTTGGTCAGGAGGGAGCAGGTTCCCTCCAGCGTTCACTGGCAGAGTGCTGTTATGCCCTTCTGAAAACGCCAACTTTGCTTTTTCAGGCTGATCATGCAGTTTACAGTACAGGCATGCATGATTAATGCTGCTTGTCTTTGAAAACTGAGCAGTGTGTGTCTGTGAGACAGAGCATGTGTCTGCTCGTGTCTTTGCCTGCGTGAGATTTATATGGTACACACTACGTGTGCCTGTGGTGCACGTGTTTACATACCGCCTGGGATGCATATGTATTTATAGTGTACATCTATGTGTGTATGTGCATATGTTTATATAATACCATTGCATGTGTGCCCGTGCACACAAACGTGTTATCATGCTCATCTATCAAAGTGTGACCTCCTGTGCAACTGTATTCCCTCTGCCCCCAAACTGAGCCAGCAATTTGCTGAACAGAGTTCAGTATGAGGAGGTTTTCAGTCCTCTCAGGGGCCATATGGTCTGGCCTGGACTCTAGTGCCTGGAATACATAACTGGAACTGCCTGATTAGGCACATTCCGAGTTTGTTTCGGGTTTGTCTATCAGTTTTAGCTGCTGGGTCCTCCTTGTGCTTGACTACTGAGTAATTTCTTATTGACAGGGTTTATCAATCTAATCTCCTAAACAGTTTATGCTTGTGAAAGCTATAGATCACCTTGAAGGAAAGCTGTTTGCAAGGCATCCCAATCATCCAGCATACAAAGGTCCTAGCTCATGCCATACATTTGACAATGTGTTTTGGATTGCCATCACTATGTAGAAATTCCAGACTACCCAGTCTGAAATCTCTTAAGGATGCTAGAGTATTCCAGAAAACATATTCCGGAAGAATGTATAGTATGGAGCTTGCTCAGCATCTACTCTTCCTCTGAGCAAAGGTGTAGCCTGTACCAGGGGTTTAGCAAATAAGCCACTGGACTTGCTGATTAGCAGCTCTGCACTACCATCACATGGTCACAGCTATGGGAGGCTCTATGTGTAGGCTAAGCCTACTTCCCCACTTAAGTTTAAGGAGTTCTAATAAGTTTAGGACTTATAGGAGCTTCCCTTCCTGTTCCTAGGTGCAGACTGCTGCAGAGGTGGTCATCAGTTCTTTGCAGGTAGGAAAGAAAAGAAGCAGCAGCCTTGCTCAGAGTCCTGTGACCTCCACTCAGCCTGGCCCACTCAATGACAGCCCTCCACTACATGTCCAGGGCCAGGTATGGCCCATCCACTCTGTGCTCCCTTACCATGGCCCTAGACTAAACAGGAAGGAAGCCCTGGTCCTGCTGTGATGGGCCATGGGGTTGACCTGCCATTTATGGGGCATTCTCTGCAACTACCTGCCCCAGGGCCCTCCCAGCCTGTAGGCTTCTGGCTCATGGTCCTACTATCCAGCTTTCCTTTCCCCTTCCTTGATTTGCAGATGCATGTTTGTAGGGTTGAGTTCCGTCTATGAAACTGTTTAATTTCAACCACGACCACCCGGGAGCTCCTGTGTGATCGCTGCACTGTACCTCTGGCAAATAAAGACCCTTCTGAGGACAAACTGAGAAAGCACCAGCCAGGCCTATGCTGTCTCTGTCCAACTCACTCCTGAGCTTTACCCTTCTAGGGGCTAATTCAGCCATCAGGCTGGTGCCAGAGACAGATTCCACCCCCTCTCCACAGTATATGCCTTTGTTCCTCAGAGCTGAGCTGGGGGAAGAAAAAATAGAAAAACAATACCCTACCCCTCAATCCTTCTAGCCACAAGAGTAAGTAGAAGCTGCAGCTGAGGGTGGTTTAATCACTGAGGCCTGGAACTACAGAAGATATACTGGGGCCTACCAGATAGACTTATCTGGCTGTAGGACCCAGTATATCTTCAGTATCTCCAGGCCTCAGTGACAGACTCTAACCATGCTGTCCGTGGAGCAAACCCAGGGTGTTTTGTCTCTCTCCCCCACTAGAAGAGTTTGGCAGAGATCCTTCTCAGGGCCTGTACCCTAATCTTGTAAATCTGCATACAGCCAGCTCCATGGGAAACTAGATAACCTTGCTAGGGTAAGATGCAGAGCATTAGCATCTCTGGCATGGTAGAAATTTGCCCAGCAGTTTTCCTCAACCCCAGGTGTGGTACTAAGGAGAAAAAGGAGGGCTATGAAGGTTGGGGTGTCATCTACTCTGCTTGCTTTGCAGACAAGAAGCAGCATTACTTAGCACACTGATTTCATTTAGTGGGGCACAGAGACTTTCAGGACGTAAGAGTAGCAAGGAAATGGGTTGAAAAAGAATTGTCAGTCAGCCTGCAATGAGCCACTTCTCTGATGTTTCCTAGAATCTCTTGCTCTGATCTCTATAATACTTCACGGAGACATCTCTGCGAGTAGGCAGGATGGTTTGTTGAGATCTAACTTCAGAGGAGATAGCGGTTCCTAACAACTATGGCTACATGCTCCAGCCACAGGTGAGGAACCATCTGTTGAGAGGTTCATGGGGACAGCGCTGCATGGGATGCACATGGGTCATATTTGGAAGACTCAGAAAAGTGATATTCTGCCACAGCAGCCACAACCAGTCATAGAGCATGTCCAAACTTCTTGATTCTCCAGCAACAGAGGAAACATGGACCAGAAACAGCACTTCTCCAAAGCTCCTCCAACACCACTGCCCTAGCCTCCTTTGTGCAAACCTCAACAAATGCTCCCCTTGGAGACCCACTGAAGTTGCTAAAACCACTGTACGTATGTGCCTGTGAACATGTCCATTAGCACATGTGCTCTTCAAAGGCCATGAAGTGCACACAGCATGCAACACAAACACTGATCCTGGGATAAGGTATGGGTGCATTCATGACTAGCAGCTGTCAAAGCCAGGTTATCATCCACATCATCTCACTAAGCAGACTTGAGCCAGGCTGGAAGGTGGATCAACAACCTCCAAGAAAGTCCCTTTGCTGCAGGAAATAATGGTGGTGGACCAGCTGTGGGCCCTGTTCTCCCTAAATCTACACCAAACTACAATGCCCAAATGTGGGCAGTCTGATCATTTAGAAATATGAATCTAAATTCCAGATCGTATGTAGACATTAAAAACCCTATGGCAGTGGTTCCTACTTGGGATGTTGCAGGGCCAGTGGCCAGGTGAATCTGCCCTGTGCACTCCCCCTACATTAGGGCTCTAATCAGCCTAAAGCAGGCAGCAAAGCCACCTCATGCAGTGCAGCTCTTTCTGGTCCATCCCTCCAATGCTCCACCCAGAAACAGGTGTGGGTAGAACCATTCCATCCCCTTCAGTTTCCGGGAGGAGCACGGGGGGCACCAGACTGAAAAAAACAGCACCCCATGATAGCTTCTGCCTGCTTCAGGCTGATTAGAAAATCCTAATGCAGGGGGAGCACCAGCACATGGCACAGCTCTTTCCAGGCTGGCTTTGCAGCACAGGGCAATTTCATCAGTTGCACGCCCCTTCCTGGCAGCACTGGGTTAAGTTGAGGCAACACCAGAACTTCTCAGCCAGAGGTGTGGTCTCATTCAAAAAGTGTTGGTGGGGTGCCTTGACCCTGAAAAGGTTGAGAACCACTGCCCTATGGTATTCTTCACAGGCTGAAGCACTGTTAGGCTAGTTTCCTGTTAAGGAGCTGTCTTCTCATTTCCCCCTAGACTTTTGACTGGACACAGCACACTTCCCGGTGTCAAACTGGTATATCCTTTGCTCTGTGTTATTCAACAGCAGCTGTGTTCCACCTCAGAGATGGCTGTGTTTGCATACTGGGAGTAATTCCTGCAGAGGAACTCAAGTCCCATCCACAGTCCTGAAGCAGTCAGCTGCTCCTGCTAAAATGTGAAGTACGGACATCGTTTATTGTGACTTAAAAGGCAGCAGCACACATCATAGCACTGCAAGGGCCCAGTGAGCAGGCTCACAAGGACACACACACACACTCTCCCATGTGAAAAGTTTTTCCCAAACAGAAAAACGGAATGGGCCCAATGAAATTATTCAGTAATTGCTCGACCTTCCTAAGAAGTGGCAGGACTGCGCAGTACCAGGGGGGCTCAGGCCTGGAAAGGCCCAAGTCACAGGAGAGCTTGCATTTGCAGCACTGCCCTGCCCCTTGCATGCGGCCCCCGCGGAGTCCTAACCTCCCCTCGCTCCGCTCTACCGACTTTTCCTGCTTTGCTGCATGTGCGGAGGACGGGGCCCAAACGTCCGCCCAGCCTCCCGCACTGTGCACGCGCGCCAGCCCTACACGGCCCGGCCCGGCCTTCCCCCCGGGCCTGACCCCGCCGCCACAGCCCCTGTGCCCGACTCGCGCTCGCGGCCCGCTGCGGCAGGGTGGCCACCATAGGGGACGGTCCGGTTGCCCTCTGTGCTCTCTTCATACAAAACCCAACGCCTTTTCTCTCTTGAAGAGAGAGGACATAAAGCGTCAGGCTTCGTATCAAGACAGGACAAAGTAGCAGAAAACCGGACTGCCCTCTATGAGGCCCCCTGAGACTGAGGCTGCCATTCTGCTGCCGGGCCGGGCCCCCGAGAAGCGCTCGGCCAACGCGGCGCTCCTCCGCGCGGAGCGCCGGTGCTGACTGCGGCTCCCGCCAGCCCTAACGCAACGCAACGCACCCCGCCCCGGCTGAGCCGCTAGATACCCCCAGGCCGCCACAGCCCCCAACCCCGCTCCACGACACAAACCCCCCCGCTCCTGGAGCCAGACGACGAGCGGCCCCACACCTCACTTCCGGCCCAGACCGGAAGTGCATCGGCAGGAACCAAATTTGAAACGAGCAAGGCGGCGCGGCTAGGCTTGGGCAGCTTCCTCCCCTCAGCCCAGTGCCCCAGCCCCGGCGTAGGTGAGAGCCCGCCTGTAGGTGTGGCGCTGCCCCCTCATGCTGCCGTGTCCCGCGCCCGCTCGTGGCTGCCCGGGCGAGGGCCGAGGTGGTCCGTGTCCCGGCGGGGCGCGCTGCGCTCGGCCCGGCCCCGCGCCGCCGGCCGTGACTCCAGGATGAGGAAGGACGCATGGCTCGAGCACTGGGGGCCCGGCCTCGCCCTGGCCTCTTCCGTGGGCGGTGTAAGATGGGGATAACGGCTCGGTGTCCAGCTCCTTACGGCAAGGGGAGGCAGGGCCTGCGAAGGAAATGCTCCGTGGCCCTGCGAAGCCACCCGCTGAATTAACCGAAGTGCTTGATACATGCACAGGTGGGAGATGGCTTCCAGGCATAGGCTCCATAAGACCATGGTTAGGAGTTATCCCAGTGACTGATCAGATGCACTTAAGCATGCTATGATGAGTGTCCATTTTGGGGTCAGACTCCCTGAGGCTTGTTTGTCTCTCAGCAGAAGCCACGAAGAGTTACTTCCTTGGTTGTGTTACAAAGGCCGTCTGGATGCTGTCACCATAGAGGATGCCTATCCGTGCCCATTGTACTATATGCTCGGATTTCTTTGATAATGAGAAGGATGTGGCAGCTATCCACTGTGGACACACATTCCACTATGTATGGTAAGTAGAAATGGGAAAGTGGGACAGTTAGTGGGGGGAAGTGTGCATTTCATGTGACTGCTGAGTTGACTTCTTTCTTCCCTGAGAGGAGGGATTATCCAGTGACTAGGATTGCACAAAAGCCTGGGGAGACTTGGGTTCAGTTTCCATCTCTGCCCCAGCCCTGGAGCAAGTTCCATAGTTTCTGTGGCATAGTTTAACTTCTGTAAACAGGAGAATATCACCCCAGGTCTGTCTTGAGACTAAATGCATTGGAAGTTATGAAACATTGAGATCTTTGGATGAAAAAAAGCTATGCAGAAGCCAGCCATCATTGTTTTGATGATGCAGTTTCCCAGCTTCCCCAGAGATACTGACATTTCCAGGGTTATTCTTTTGAGAGCTGTGTGCTGCTTATTAGTGAGATAATCAGCTGTCTTTCTGCATGTCAGTCTCTCCCTCTCCACTCCTGTTGTTTACCAGAGTTATGGTTTAGGAGAATGAGGGTGAAAAAGACATAAAACATGTACCTTTTGACTGGCTGATCCTTCTTGCTTTTTTGAGGGGGTTGGTTGATGGGTTGACAGAGTTAGTTGGAAATCAGCCTATTCCAGGCTTCTGAAACTCAGGCTTTTCCTGCTTAAGAGAAATCCATTACTAAAATAGCAGGAAGTTCTGTGGGTTGGTATTGAGATGCAGCTTCCCTAATATAAGATTCAAGGTCTCCCAACATACAGCTGTGCCAATGCAAGTTGGGGCTAAGGTGCATCTGCAAGCCTATGAGGGTGCCAAGGATTGGACGGCAGGGGGGCAGGTGGAACAAGACTGGTTTGTAATTGAAGTAGTGGGAGGCAAGACTATTAGGAGGAAAGTCCAGTTTTGTTGCTGCACTTTCACACTGGGAAGCATAGGGAATCCTGCACAGTAAATTGACTTACTATATAATAAGAGTGGAGCAGACACTATGCAAAGCTCTGTTGTGTCACTTGGAACACATTTGATAACTTTACCCTGGATACAAGCACTAACTTTTATTAGTGAAGAAAGTTACTAACTGAATATGTGCATGTTTGTGTTGGTTCACCCCCCTGGTCCATTTCAA